CTATTTCCTATAGAAATGGAAGTCCTATCACTGGGATGGAAGATTTGTTGCCCCCCAAAGACAGTTAACCGAATCGATTTGGAGGTGCAATTCACAAGCCTGATGGGTCAAACAAAGGATTTGATACCTAATTCAGACGAGGATTTGGAAAGGTTTAAAAGTTTGCTGGTGACAAACTGCTAAAAGTACTGAAAGGTACACGTGCACAACCGCGGACCGCTTACACGTCAGCATATAAACGCTTTGAGGGAACTCAAAAAGAACAAAGACATGATGCTGCTCAAAGCAGATAAAGGCACCGGGGTGGTTATTATGAACAACAATGATTATATTCGAAAGCTCTCTGAAATAATTTCGGATGACAAAAAGTTCTCTAGATGCCTTAAAGAAAAGGATGAGACAGAAAAGGTGGAGGGCGGAATCACATGTCTACTAAAGGCGCTAAAGTTACAGGGGCACATAGACTGAAACCATGTGGGTCCACTATCCCTCGACTGTATGGTCTCCCGAAGATCCATAAAGAAGGAGTTCCAATAAGACCTATTATGGCAATGGCAAATTCACCATCTCACGCAATGGCACAGTGGTTGGTCGAATTATTAGAACCCATTCGTCGTAGACTCGCCACACAGTCTCCGAGACAGTTTCCAGTTAGTAGGCAAAATAAAAGACCTAGACCTGCAAGAAAAAACGATGTTTTCTTTCGATATGGTCTCACTGTTCACTAATGTACCCCTGCTGGAGACAGTGGAATTCATTTGTGATCAAATAAAAGCACTGAATGTGGACGTTGGTATTCCGGTCACCAATTTAAAGGAACTGCTATTACTCTGCACACGTAACGTTTAGTTTCTATTTAACGGTACTATCTATCGTCAGACGGACGGGGTTGCTATGGGATCGCCACTTGGTCCGTTGCTAGCTGACTTCTTCGTGGCCAAACTGGAAAAGAGTACGCTGAGTCAAACTATTGAAGGATTAGCACACTACAGTAGATATATGGATGATATCTTCTGTACGACCGATCGTAAACATGACATCCAACAGATAATGAAATTGTATAACGAAGCACATCCATCAATGGAATTCACTGTGCAGAGGGTGAAGCGAACAACATATTGGCCTTTCTGTCTATAGCCGGGTCCAGGAAAGAAGGTGGATCAGTGAGAAGACAAATCGACAGAAAGAAAACATGGAATGGCCAATATATCAACTTCCTTAGTTTCGTTCCTGTGAAATATAAACGCAGTCTAGTCCGGTGTCTAGTTTTCCGAGCCCGGAAGATTTGTTCAGCAAACACACCAAACGCTGCAGGACAAGGGTTATCCGGAGAAGTTCATCGATTAGAATATTCGGCTCACTCCGAAGAAGGAAAACGCCATCTGTGTCCCCAAGAAAGAACTATTCATGAGGATCCCATTTAAGGGGGACTTACACACCGAAAGCCTAGTACAGTCACTGAAAACGGCTGTAAATTCCACCTAACCCGTACCAAAACTTAGACCAGTATTCTCTACGTCGCCCGTGATGCGAATGCAGGTGAAAGACAAACTGCCGAAACTGACCTCATCCATGATAATCTACTATTTTAAGTGCGTCTGTGGCGCATGTTACATAGGTCGTACGGTAAGGCGTTTGTCTAAACTTGTTAGGGAACACCAACCGTGATGGTTGAGTCAGGGAAAAACCGACTATCTCAAGCGCCATTGTGGGTCATCTTGTCGACACCGGCCACAAGATCGATCCGGAGAAAGCTTTTGATGTGGTTTGTCGCATCCCAATCAATCGCTCAAGGGCGGCCCGAGTTTGGACACTAGCTATGGCCGAGGCGATCGCCATTCGCTTACTAAGCCCCCAACTGTGCCCAAAATCGATCGGTGCAGGCGCTCCAATTGCCTAGGCCGTGTGCGAAAACCGAGACGGAACATGATGTGACACTTGACCCAAATGGGGAAGGTCACATCAACTAACACGTTAAAGTTTCCAACACACACACACACACACACACACAAACAAACACGCACACACATTCACAATTCCATTGCTCTCTACCTCCGAATATTGACTTTCAAATGAGCCAATGGCTATGATTATGGAAGAATATTTTCCACTATATGATATGTAAGAGCATGACTAGAAATATCCGAAAACAATTGTTCGCTCAGCGACTCGTTTTCTCAATATATACATATGTATATATGTATGTGTATATCACACTTTTCTGAGGACATACAAGAAAATCATGGTAGAATATTCTTTATGAAAAAAAGACGTTCCATGATTAGTTTGTGTGCTGAATACTGCCAGGTTGCCCAGGCCAATACAGGTGATTTTTCTTGAGGAATCCACAACCGGATCCTTTGGCTAACCAAAGTCTGACCCGCAAGGCAGTGGGGCGTGGTGTGAGAACCGCAGTCCCTTAGGAGCCGGTGTCCAGTTCATCGGATCATACGCCCTTTGGACGGGGTTAGACGTCCAAGGTGCCAAATACACCTCAATGCCCAATCGAGCGGGTGACCACTGCCATAGCTGAAAAGATCTGGATGTGGTTTGTACGCCACCTTTTGGTTGATTTGGAATCAGGGTTTTTAGCTAACTCCCTTAGGTGAATGACCAACCCGGTTATAGCCCCGGATATAGGCTTTTCGTCCTCTCACTTTGATGGGAAAATACCTCCGCTGCGAGAAGACAGTGAGTGGGGCTTCCTCAGCAGATGCTGTTTGTGATGCTTGGTCGTATGGGAGCATTTCGTGAGGTGCAAGGGAATTGTAACCAACCGCAACCATAGACACCCGCCCCCAACCATAATGATGCTTTCGGAGACACAGCAATAGCTATTGTGTGGTTGAATACTACCAACAATGTGATATCCCTCCGGCATCTTCTGCATTACGAATGTTGGCTAAAGTATGTGAAATTCGAGGAAGCCTCCCGTTTCTTAGTTATCAGTGAAACGCATTAGGCAGTTAATATCAGATAAACCGCATGTCTGTGTCATTTTCACTTTTTGTGATACGTCATGTTCAATGTGGCGCATTATTAAATGAATATTTTAGAGGTTTAAATGTTTCGCTTCCCAGGTCCGGGATTCGAGACAGGAGAATACAATGCCGGTCGATCAAATTAAAATAATGGGATAATCATGCGTGGACTGATAAGTCATTTGTATAGTAAACACATTTATTTCAGTTACTTGTCAGTGGGTGTGCGGGAAAATTGATATATTGATTTAGGCTGACCTTCCTTGACTGTTAACTTTCACCGGTAATCTTCAGTTAATCTTATCGTACATACGGTACAAAGCACTATACTCGAGTGTCGCTCTTATCAATATCAATGTGTGTTTTATCTTCAATAAAAGGTAACCCGGTTGAAGAACACAATTAGTCTGACAATGCAAAGAGCACGCTACGAGAAGTCCCCCTCACGGTAATTGTAAAAAGAAAAGGGAAATCAATACAAACCGTACAAGTAACCAGTGAGATATATGCGGTTATGGGTGGCTGTCATTAGCTCATGTAGATGCCATGGAAACAGATATTCTAATTGGTCATACAGGAGCACGAATGGGACAGCAAACAAAGGATACTGACGTACAGATTGAATCAGCATCGCAACGAGACTGTACCTCGACGTGGTGTGGTTGCTTATGCACCACTCTGATCCAACGAGCTACACAGGATGACTTTTGTCATGCCAAAGATCTAATCATGCCTGGAAGGTCGAAGGGTAGAGGTCGGACGAGGTCCAGTTTCATGGTCTGCCAAAATGGGCGTTTGACTAGAATGTGCGTTTCAGTCGGTGAAAATTGGTGGTGGTGGTTGTGGTGGGGCAATTGATCCATGCAAATGGGCCTCCACTTTGCATCACCCACAGCCTTGCGGCTAGATTCTTGTTAGAACTAAAGGCTTTGGTTGATAACCCTCGGCGTGTTCTTGCTTAGTGGCTGAAAGCCCTAGCGGTACGCGTTCATCACATCCCAATGCATATGCATTGCGAGTTTGGCAGCGATCTGTGAAGTTTGCTTCCCTGTATTTGGCTCTAAGCTGATGATGTGATGATTGATTGATTAATCAAGCGTTCACGTAAAATGCCATTGCATGGGTGATTGACCCGGGTCAATCGTATAAACCATCAGGGGGGAAATGTGCAAGATAAGACGGAAAATCTAGTTCAGTGCCCAGGGAGCCTGAGGTAGGTGGAGTAGGGTTAAGAAAACAACGGTTGGGTCTTGGGGCAAGGGAGCTATCAGTGAATGGGTGGATTTAGGTTGGTGGTTGGATCAAATCGGTGTGCTAAATTCCAGTCGAACGACTCAGTTCTCTTCAGTATTCTTGGTATTATATACGATCTATACTTTTGCATTTAAATAATCTCGTCCCTATCCCCAATGCCAAAGGACCGATTCACACGTTTTGACCTAAAGGTCAAAACCAATTTCACTCGTCCCAACCACCAGTCGAACGATCACCCACATGCACACACACGTATGTTCGAAACACGTCCGAGCTCGATACGATGTTAGCATCCCATCGCCTCATAATTGATTGTAATGTAATATTAACCGAATTAACGATTTTAAGAAGACCTTCCAAGAGGGTCGAATCTTTGTCAATAACGCCTTGTGTTTTGTTTTTTCGGTCGTCGTGGCTAATAATTATGAGCACGATGCCCAAGTTTTCCAGTAAGATCCGTTTCCTCCATGAATCTGGTACGATATATGGTTGTCAAAACGTAAACCTTAAAACGGTGTTTGTCGTTATATATGTCGATCAGGAATAAAGATGCCTTGCGTGTCATATGCATATCCGGGTCTCACATCTCCATAAACCTTATGAAACCCCCGCCATATTGTACATACAAAAATGCGAGACATTGAACTGTATCGCAGGCAAAATGACTTCAATTGTTCCATGTTTCTATTATAGTAAAATATAGTTATGCGTAAAATGAGATTCCTGTTTCAAAATGAGTAACAGATTGGGAGTGAAATGGTGAGTTTTACAAAAATAGCTGTTTTGTAAGTGTGGCTTTGTTTTTCATCGTTGTGTCTCGGTAATGCAATGTGTAGTTGTGACGCAAAGTTTTCATCGTTTTGTTAATACAAATGGGTTGTATTGAAGTCGCGGTAAATCCTAGTTTTGTATATGGACGCCGTTTTACAGACATCAACGTTCTGATTACGACCTTGAGAATTCTTTTCTCATTCAGATATCTTTCGAGGTCTAGACTAGTGAGACTTGTTGTTACATTATCCGGAAAACAAATACACAAAAGGATATGCTATGTAAATCTCAAATTGATAGAACTTTTATGATTCCTCAGTTCGCTCGTTAAGTAACTTAATAAGTCAAACTGTATTGCTCTTTTACTTCGTTCAAATAAAGAACTTTCAAAATACGAAGAAGAAACTGAAAATTACCAAGCCGTTTGTCGAGGAGAACAAATTTTCCCCCCGCCACCAGCCTCCAGTGTCTATTGTCGATATTATGTGCCTCATCCACATTACCTTATCGGTCCGGTCAAAGAAGAAGTTTTGCATCCAGATCCGCGACTCGTTATG